GGGGGAATGCCACTGTCTTATCCTGAGTTTAGCACCCACCTTATCGTTCCAAAATTACAGTGCATCTGGAGAGAACTTTTCAACCTCCTTAGACACATGCTGTGAGGAGGAAACTTCAATGCAGAGATATGAACATTTGCCTGGTGCCAGAGTCCTACTTGCTCCAATGTCATCTCTCATACATCTATGCAAGTCACAGAAAACATGTGTGCAAACCATTGACTCTTGCATAGCTAACATGTGATTTCATTTAATAAGAAATATAGGAGGTAGGAGGCAGCTGAGTAGTAAAGCACTTGCTGAGCATGTGTGCACCCCAAGTTCAATCCTGACTACAAAAGAAAAATAAATCACTCTTTGACTGGTAAGATCATACAGGTAAGGTGTCTCACTTGTATACCACTGACAGCGGGTTGATCCCTGGCACCACATGGTTCACAGAACATTATGGGGTACAGCTCTGAAGGCTTCTGAGCACCACATGGTGTGACACTGGACCTGGAGGCAACACCTCCCAACACTGCCAAGGGGCTCCTTGGATAAACTCAGGCATAGCAGGGCCTGAGCAGCATGGCTGTTTCCAGTCTCTGCTCTGAACTACCCAAGGAGTCAACAGGAAGGACTCCAGGGCCCCGAGAGCATCATTTGGGAAACAACACTCCCTGCCAAACAGTGAATCTTTCCCTCCCCTTTCCTCAGAAGGATTTGACTCAACATGAGCAAGGCAGTAAAGTTTCAATGAAAGATAGTAGTTAAATAAATGTTTAATATAACCCTGAATAATTGAGAAATACTGACTGCCCCAAATTTACAAGAGGTATTATGCATTACAGATATTTTAATGATACAAACATCAATGGGTGAATTATTCTACGTATCTTTAACATCATTGAGCTTTAGATGAATTTTTCATTTGTTGTTAAAAAAAGAAAACTAAGGGAATTCTACCATCAAAGCAAATTCACCTATCTAGAGAATTTTACAGAGTATCATCCTATCATTGATATAAAACACTCTCAACTAGAATATTTCTACCACCCCACACTTAGATCGCAGTGGACCTGAAAAGCCTACCTTCATTACTATTTCAACAAAAAAAAAAAACAGGTTATCAGAATTGGGCCAATGTTTTTTTCCACTCATTATTTATGTGTCAAAAGGGGATGTTGGGAAATGGAGATGATATGAAAAGAAGAAATCGTATTCTGCTATCTGCCTTATTCTTTCCAAGATAAAATATAGCCATCATAAAATATTGACTTCTTCAATGTTGGCATCTTCTCAATTCTTATAAGAAAGAACGGTTTGCCTCAAAATACCACTGAATGAAATTTGAGTGGTGACCAAAAATTTCAACTCAGAACAAATTATGAGAGCCCATGGCTCGCTGAGTTCTCACAATTTCACGGTTTTGCTCTCCCCCAGTCTCCATTGAATTCTGTTCTTGCACGACTTCCTGGGCCTTGTGTAGCATCACCTGTCCACAGTCCTGTGCCCCAGAGGAGCCTGTGACAGCCAGAACCCCACAGATCTCCATCTCCTCCCTTCCCACCAGGAGCCTGGGGTGAGACCATCAGTCTCCAGGATCATTTGTTTGTTGAGCTCAAGTTGGGATTCTTGGTCAACTGTCAGCACCAGGGGGAAAGAACGATGGTGTCTTAAGTGCATTAAATCTTCATATGAGCCCCCTGGTTTGGCAAACCTTTATGTTGGCTTTGTTCTGTTTTTTTCAAGCATGACAAACAAGTGGCTTTTCTTTTTCACTTTAATGATTCTTTAAACAAAAAGGAGTAGTTTAGGGCTTTCTCCTAGGCTGATAGGTATTTCTGTTTAATGAGGTTTTTATTATACTGTATTGGCTTCCCTGAAAAGAAATTACGAGCAGCCAACAGCTGATAATAGAACAAAGCTGGAAGAAACAATAACCAAAAGGGGGGAAAAATTAGTGTGGCCACAGATGCCTGTGTTGCAACTGGAGGATTATATGCTACGCGCATTCTCTCTTGGCCACCATTGTACCCACAATAAAGTCGACGTGGGTACTAAAGTGCCAGTTATGTATGCACGGAAGATATGGACAGAGATATCTACATAGAGCCAGCTAAATCGCCATCTGTGGAAGAGGAAGGGTGGTGAGCTCAAGTCTAGACAAAGATGAGTGAAGCTCAGAGTGCGGGTTTACAAGGGCTGGTCGGTTACCATGGAAACTAATTGGAGCTAATAAGTAAAAGGACATTTTAACTGTGGGAACAAATAGGAGGGGTTATTTTTCAATATCACCGTTACCTACAATTAATCTTTCATTTTAGGAGTGTCTTTCCTTAATTCCTAGAATGAAGCTCTTCCGCCTGCACACAGCCTCATTCTGATCAACATTCCATTTAGACGCTGAATGTCAATTTTTTTTCAAATGTGCTGTATTTGGGGTTAAGATCTTTCAAGACAGAATCAGTTTCACTCCGCCCCCACCCCCGCCACCTAAAAAATAAACTGTTTGCAGATGGGAAGGAGTAAGGAAGGGAGGTAATGGAAAATCTCTTAACGTCCCAACTGATATTCTGCTGAGCACTAAAGCTGGTTCCAGGGAGGGCAGCTGGGACCTTATCCTGCAGCACCAGTTTCAGTTTTGTGTTTGAGCTGATTTTCTCCAGCAAAAGCATTTCGGGACATAAACAAAAAAATATATCTTTGTGGACTCACTTTACAATACTTTGGGAAGGTAATGTTTACCGACACTGCCCAGAGCAAGAATTAAGATCAGAGCAAAGAAGCAGGCGCTCATGCTCAACTTGTATTTTTCATTTTAAAGCAAGAATGAAGCGGTGTACATAGATGCAGCAATCCATAAAGGAGAAGCAGGGACTGAGATTTAATGGAAAGATTTACAATTAAGAATAGAATAAAAAATGTTTGTGTTCAAAGCTCTTTCAGCAATAATATGAGGCAGAGCTGGACCACTAGGGAAAATGTCTTGGAAAACATTCTTTATGGGCACAGGGTTGATAAAACTTGATTCAACACCTTTACAGTTTCTTCAGTCTTACCATTGTAACTTAATTTACAGTTTAAGAATTTAAGAAAAGGCAAACCTTCTTAACAATGTCTCCAAGGTCTTTAGAATCTATGTAGTTGAAGTAATCCAGAGTTCTAGACATGAGTCTGGTTGGATTAAGCAAAAAAAAAAAAAAAAAATTAATGAAAAAAATTGCCTTGTAATTATTGGCACCATGAAACATTTTATGGTGCCCCAGGGAAGTTTTGGCCTCATGATACCACTTGCCATTTTAGAATGTTTCTGTGTTGATATTGTATCTGGATTTAACTGATTAGGGGTAGTGGTTTAGTGAATTCATTCTATAGGGTGAAACAGACACCTCTTAGTCACTTCTGGAAAGAAACTGAGCACATGAATCAGGAATTCAACCTGTAATTCTTTGGTTGCTTTTCTCTACAACCCAGTGATAGAAAAAAAATCACTGAAAATTATAGTTCTCTAATCCTATGCTTCAGAAAATTGCACCAGGTGTAATTTTTAAGGCTCCGCACATTATCACACAGAGAATTCTTTAAAAAAGGCTAGTCAAATTAATTTTTCTGGGTATTAAACTACATGTCTGATTCTGACATTGCAAGGATTTGATACCTATTTACAGAATTGATTTAAATGTTTCAGGCAGGTTTGAAATTTGGGTCTCAGTAGTTTCAACCCAACCATCAGCCCCTTCCCAGTTCAAACAAATTCAAAGGTGCAAAATTTTAAATATTGAAGGTTCAAAGATGCAAAGTTTTAAATGTTGCCTTCCCACAAGGTGTGAGAAAATCAATAATACTTCAAGTTACCATTTTCTCTTTCAGATAATCAGAATTCTTTTAAAATCCTGAAAAAACTTTTTTGACAGTATGATTTTTTTAAAGGCAATTAATTTATTTTCAGATCTAAAAACATTGTAACAACTATAATGGTTTTCTGGTTCAGACTGCTATCAAATTAATTAGTTCTGTAGAGCAGTGGGAGAACTTTTTTTTTTTAAGTATCTAAGGAGGTATTGAAATGGCCAAAAATTGAAAATGTTTCAAAGCAAAATTGTTAATGAGCTGCTTGAGTTATATGGACATTATAAGTGCAATTAACCAGAAGCCAATAAAAATAATCAATGACAGAGTGCAGCCCCCTGGTACCAAGTGCTTTTACAAAGAGATGTCTGTGAAAGCAGCAAGTGATTAAAAAAGCCACCTTTATCTATGAGGCGCGCGTGCGATTTTACATGAGTAGAAACGAAAATGATTCTCATTGACTGTTTCTGAAGTTCAGCCTGTGGCAAACAGTGAAGAGCTGTATGCAGGAATAGAGAAGTTTCTGCTCCGGGCTGCGCCCCCACCCTCCACCTCCCAGGAATGTTGGAGGCAGCCAGGATCTAATCAAAGGAGGGTAGGAGTTTAGATTTCAAAATGTAGATGTCACATTTCAGTGCCAACTACTCCTACATTAACACTTTATCAGTAAGTCAAGAGGAATCTTTTATCTTTGGGGGGGGGGGGGGGCGCGGCGCGGTTACTGACTCCCTGAGATTTGCCTTCCTTGGGTTGACAAGGAGAGAGAAAGAGAGAGAGAGAGAGAGAGAGAGAGAGAGAGAGAGAGAGAGAGAGAGAGAGAGATGTGGTGCGGTGTGTCTGGGCATCCTACGAGGATCCCAATTGTCCCCAGGGAGCATAAGGAGTTGTGAAAAGTAACGCACAACTGGCCACCAGGATAATTCATTCCCTCCACCTTCTCTTTAGCACCTCCCACTTCTCTTTTTATAGCCGTCCTTTCTCTCCGAAAATCTCAGGTTACTTGACTGGGAGTTCTCAGACCTCCAGTTTCAGTCCTGCCCTCAGCCTCCCGTCGGTGAGAGACACCCAGCCCCAGCAATTGGATTGGGCAGCCAGTCTTGACACAGCACTGTGCTGAGTGCTTGAGGACGTGTTTCACCAGATGGTTGGGGTTAGTGTGTGTCATCACGTTCGAGTGGGGATTAGGAGCAGGAAGCCTGCCTTGCTGGAGCTGTGTGGTCTTCTCCAAAAGAGAGTTGCAGGCAAGAGCGCGCTCCTTTGCTTTGGGGAGAAGAGGAGAAATTCATTTTCAGCAGCCACAAGAAAAGCAGTTGTTTCAGGTAAAGTGAAATCTCTCTCTCTCTCTCTCTCTCTCTCTCTCTCTCTCTCTCTCTCTCTCACACACACACACACACGCACACTCACACATGCACATACACACATGCACACACACGCACACACACGCACACGCACGCACGCACACACACTCGCATAGTTTTGAATGGAATGCTAGCACAGCACACTTGTCAAAGGCAGTTGTTGCTGTCCTATCAATGCAGCTATTGTACGGCTGACAGATAACAGTGAACATAGCTCGGTGCTTGGCTGTCTTTAGAGAACTAACACTCCTCATGCCTAGCTCTTTGGAGGTGTAGCTAAGAAATTGTCTGTGTATACCTTTCATGTCTGCATTTCGGACTGAAAACAGGAGTTAGGAATTGCTCAGAGAGAATGAATAAGGCCAGGGGAGCAGTTACAGCAGCTTCCAAAATTAAACTTCACTTTCAAACTGTTGCATTTTACTTTTCAATTTATAAAGATTCTTTGTAAGGCTCTATTGCTGAGTTGCTGACCAAGATGAAATTGCTCTCTTGACTGATTTTTGCAGTGCTGATTATGTCTGAGGGATGATGGAGGAAAGTGTTTTTGAAAAATTTTGGAGACTGACACTGAAGTGGGGAAAAACTCCTTAAGAGACAAAGCTGCCCTCCTAATAGCTGATAGGTTGTCTTTAAAACAAAATAGAGCTAAAAGAAAAGCAGAAAAGGAGGAAGTAGAAAAATGCTCTTTAACATAATTCTCTTGCAGCTGCAGGGGAGCAGATGGAGGTAATTCATTTGCAGATCTGTTTGTGAAAGTTTTACAAGTCATTGAAAACTAAAATAGCATCTCTATAATAGATCATTAAAGTCTCTACATTTATAGGTTTTATACAGGCTATCTGAAGTGTTAATTAAATGTCAATAGATTTTCTGGCTGGATTATAAACAAACATTACAAAAAAGACTTTAATTATAAATTAGTCACTGGAAATTAATGGTTATCCGGTGCCTGAGCAACATAAAATGAGTTGTCATCATAGATGTGAGTAGCCGTCAACATGACCACTGCCAAAAACAACCGCTAAAATTAAATCTGACCGAAAGTCACAATGGACTGCATATTCTTTGTTTAATCTGTGGCATTGAAAAAAAAAGACGACCTTTCTGGTCACTCTTCTATTTTTTACAAGTACCAAGAAAAAAATACTCATTTTTCAATTTTTGCATAAGCTCGGTGAGTCAGTGAGGTACTTTTGCACCTAACAGACTTACCCTCCAGTTTTCACATGCCTGTGCTCAAGGATTCTTGTTGCTATTGGACGTTCACATTTGGTATAGAAACCCAACACTGTCCTCACCCTTTGCAGGTGAGACACTCTATGAATAATACTGTATACAAGCTATTCTGAAATCGGAGCTGCTGCTTTGGTTGAATAATAGGGTTTATGGCTAATGCTTTGTGAATGTGTGTGTTGTGTGTGTGTGTGTGTTCAATTATATAATGATGTCTCTAAAATTATGTTTCAGGTTGAATCCTACATTTTTTCCAAGCAATTATTTGTGAACATTTTTTGGGCAGGGTGGCGTAGCTAGATGAATCCTCTTTTTTCACAAAGTCAAGGCTATGTATAGTATTCAGTTGTTGTTCTGAGTAGTCTCTGGTTCTAGTCTCATCTTCAATGAAAAACAACCCTCAAAATTAACCAAGCAATTATTTACCACTGAGTATCAGCCAATCTCCAATATTACATAATCCAAATAGGACTACATTCATAAGCCCAGGTCTTTGGGAATTCCTGTCATTCCATTTCGGCTTTACAATGGAGCTGGGGTTTAAATAATAATGACAGAAAGGCAGACAAGTACCTCATGTTGTGCAGGCATTAGAACATCAAGTGCAGCATGCAGCAGGGTTGGAGCTGCCCACCAATGGCAGTTTTTCACTAAAGCAGTAATCCTTCAGGAGGGAGTAAAGCTCTGACTTCCCGATATGCAGTGTGATGACACTAACAAAGGCAACTCGTAGTGACAGGAGCCCACAAGTATAGATCTCTTACACATGCACTGCACTGCTCAAGAGCCATCTGACCAGGATTTTCACTGCAATAACTACTCTCCATGAGTCAATGGCGCACAGAATTAGACAAGGCGACAACAGGAAAGGAAGCACTGAGAAAAAATAAATTCACACCTTGAAAAGGCAAAGGTGTTTCTTCTCTTCTTCCCCCTCCAAAAAAAAAACCAAAACCAATATGAAGTTACTTAGCAAAACTCAGAGTCTGTCTAAAAGATGGTGCCCACAGGGAAATCCTGGTTTCTTCTTGAAATCTAAATCCACTGTTCCAGATGGTAAACATTCAGAGGCATATTTATGGTGACTTCTACATACCTCGCTTTGACATTTGGTTTCTTCCTGACAGCAGTTGTACTGGACACACATGAAGTTCCCATCAGTATTCTAACAGCTGTGAACATGGCTATGCATGGGAGAACCTGGTAGGATGTGAATAGTTTCTGCTGTGGGGGAGCATTCTCCTTGCACTCTTCATAGGACTTTCTGCCAAGGCAGGTGGGAAGGTGAGGAATCTTAGAGGTGTGAAACCATCTGCAAGCATGGTTTGTGAAAGTCACCAGGTTCATTTTCATGGTGGAGTGGTAAAGGAAAACACATCAACCCAGGTATTTACCCAGCTCCTGGGAGGTTATGAATGGGGACCGTCTTCAAAGGACTACAGAGATTCTTCTCTGCTTTTCAGGAAATATAAGGAAATGCAGGCAGTGTTGTGACCATTTCCGCTATGATAGGAGGGGCAGGTGAGAACTGTGACGCTTTACATGTCTTTTCTAGATTATTATAAGTCCAGTTGTGTGTGACTCATTAGGAACTTAGTTGATTCAATATTTTTATTTTTCTTCTTCTGTTTTAGGGGGGTGGGAAGTTTCTGTTTTGGGGCCTTACTCAGCAATACTCGGGGATTTCTCCTGGTTTTGCACCCAGGGATCAATCCTGGCAGGGTTCAGGGGACCATATAGGGTACCAGGAATAGTCCTAGGTCAGCCGAGTGAAGGCGACTTAACCTCTGTCCTATCTTCCCAGCCCCAGTTCTTTGTATTTTCAATTTTGAACAGTTTGTTCTTTACAAGGACGTAGGGAAGGTTTCTGACGCTCAGACTAAGATTTCCCCAACTGCTGCCATGTGGACGAGGCCGGCCCATGGGTCAGGTCAGGACATCTGGTTCCTTTTCTCCTAGGCCATATTCTTGTGTGGAAAGCATGGAGTAAATTTAAGGGGATTAGCTTTTTAAAGAGCTAACTCTAAATAGATTATTACTTTTATCATCCTTAGTGACTCTGAGAAAAAAGAGGCTCATGTTATAAAATGAAATCTGTAGTCATATGCTCAGCCAATTTTAACTACAGGTCAGATCCATAAAAACAGAAGTATATGAAAGAAAATATTTTTCAGAAAGAGTTTTTCCTGATATGTGTTTTTTTTTGGGGGGGGGGTGTAAAATATTTCTAAGAGGGCAATTGATCTGTTTACCATTTTTTTCTGATACTCCTCAGCCCCTTCATTTACCTGACATCAGACTCTGTGACTTGGGGCCTTAGATATAGTATAAGTATTATAGTACTTACCCTGTGTATAGTCAACCCCAGTTTGATCCCCAGCACCAAAGATGGTCCCCCAAGTACCAGGAGGGGTAACCCCTGAGCACAGAACACTAGGTGTAAGCCCTGAGCACAGAACACCAGGAGTAAGCCCTGCCAGGTGTGGCCCAGCCAAATTCTGTGATTCCTTCCTTTATTACACCTTCCATTACATGCCAAATCTGCTATCACCTGTGAGGTGTTATAATATCTGAACTGTCAACTTGTGTCCATCTTCCTTTGTGGAGCACCACTACAGACTGAGCTTCCTGTCACAATTTTCATCAAAGCATCCTCAGCTGAGACATGAGATCTTATTATGGGCAAGATGAAATTTGAATTTCTCAGTTTAATGAGCCACCCTCCCTCTTGGTTCCTACCTTACAATCACCTGGACACTAGGTCCCCATAGAATTCAAAAATATTCAAAAGTGGAACTTCCTGGTGACTAGAGTCCAGTTCTATGCCTCTCTTTTTGGTCTCATCTTTAACTCCTGACTACTCTAATTTCCCATCTTCTCTGGAAATTAAGGCATGTGTTATCATATGACATAGGTCCTTCAGACTCATTGTTTATAGTCTTGTGCAGAGGACACACTCGTCACTTCTAGATATGTACCTTCAAAGTGACAGCTTACGTTTCGTCTTCTCAAAGCAGCTTGCCCTAATCACCGTGTTTCCCAGGATGCTTTCTTTTACTTGAATTTATCTGCATAGATATATGCACACTATATTTGACATCAATAACTACAGTTAAGATGACTTACAGTCAGCACAGTTACCTCGGTGTTTTTTTTGGTTCTGCTTTCTAATTTTTAATCTTTTGAATCCTCAAGTAGAGTGAGGTCCTCTTTGGGTCCACTTTTATGTCCACAGAAGATACTAATAAATGAGTGTTGACTGAAACACAGGAATATTAAAAAATTCAGGGCACTTGACTCTCTACTTGCCCTCACTTTAGAGCTATTTACCAGTTTTGCTGTTATTGTTTCAGGGTTTCGCTTTAGAGGCTATATCCTGCAGTGTTCCTGGCTTACTCCTGACTTCGTGCAAATGGACCACTGCTAGTGGTGCTTGGGTCTATATGGAATACTAGGGATCAAACCTGGATTAGAATGCATTCAAGACAAGTGCGCTACCAGCTATCCTTTCTTTCTGATCTAATTTACGGTTTAATGGCCTCCCCTCCATCCAAGAGGAAAGGAGAACAAATGATTACATATGATTGGCTATATCTGGGATTAGAGTTGGGGAAAATGTCACAGGCAGAATATGAAATCGTCAAAATTTAAGCTTGAATATTACCCTCTATTTCTGTTTCTCTAATTACAGTAGAAATTATATCTTTTTTCCTAATCCTTAGTTG